CATCGAGCGATAAGATAAATTTGCCATATAACAAAAGTGTATATTTTATTTTATTTCACAGGTTATAAACTTACAAACAGAGTTTATACAGTCAATAAAGTCGAAATATATGTTCAGTGTAGCTAAAGTACAGAAATGTTCATATTTTAGTACTCTAGGTACATGTTATTTAATTAATTTAGTTTGAAGTTATTTTAATATTCTAAAAAAAAATTTTAATATAACTTCAGAAGCAGATCACTGTGAGGTGATTTTTATAGAAAATATTTATATGTCTTTTTTTAAGTTAATAAAAATTGAAATTTATTTATTTATGTGTTGGGAATAAGGTGTTATTTATATTGCACTTTGTATTGTAGAGTATTTTGGATGTTTATTATGGTTTTTGATTTGTGGTATTTTTACCTCTGAATAATTGTGAGTTTTAAATATCATTAGCACTGGGTACTGTTTTCTTTGATTTGATCACGATTAAATCGATGGTGAAAACAGGAGTGATAACCGTGAATATATGTATTTCATTGTATAAAATATTTAATGATGAATTTATTTATATAACTATAAATTGTAGGACTGATCAACTATATTGTATTTTCTCATAGGAGGATACAACTTTTTTAAAGAAAATCGAATTTGACTAAGGCTTCGGTAACGATGAAAAGTGAGTCCGCTTTGGGAACTGTTACCCCATCAGGGTAAGTGGAAGCGGCGGTACCATGCCTGCCATCTTCCCAAGGTCAGCGGAGTGGGTGGGGTGCGGTGGGTGGGGCGGTGCCATGTGGCGCCGGAACGAAACAACGGAATCCGACCGCCTTATCAACCGACAGACAGATTGCATTTCCCAGACCGTGTGTCATGGATTTCGCACCTGCTCTTTGTTTCCGTTTGGCGGCGGTGTTCCAGTGGAAAATCATGTGGCGGCCATGCAAATTGTACAATTTCGTTTCGATTTTGCCTCGTTTGCTTGCTTCCTCGCACTGTCCGTCGTATGTCGCTCTCCCTCGCACACATGCGAATGTCGACAGCAAAGCGGAGGGCGAAAACACGTTTTGTACGATGATTCAGATTCGTCAGAAATTTCGGCCAAAAGATTCGCATGCCTGGGTCTGGGGAAATATCTTATAGATGGCAGCTGGCCCCCGAAATCCGCCGTGTGTTCTATATGCACATTTGCGAATTGCGCATCGAAAATTCGAGGCAATATGTTTTACGGCGATCCCCCGCCCCACCCCAAGGCATAGAATAATGTGACTTACCTCCGCCTGCTGGCGCACGTCGTTGTCCGTGGACAAAAGAGACACCAGGAGCTGCTGGAACTGAGCCTGATCCGCTGCCATCTTATCCTGTCTGATTCCAAGTGAAACGAAACACAAGCGTTCGCGGAAACCACGATTTTCTCTTCAGTCTTCACGCGACGGCGGCCGCCTAAAAAAGAGCAGAACAACTGGCTGGGTTGCCAAAGGGTCGCAAATTCGCGCACTGCACTTTTAAATCCGCTTTCTCCGCGACTTTTTTTTTGGGGTCTGATCGATGTTGGGTGGTGGCGATTCAGTTAATTTTTTGATTTTTGCTTGGTTTATCCAAAGTTTTATGGAATTTTTGTGGCACGATGGAGGCTTGCTGAGGCGCCTGTGGCAACACTGCTCTGCTTTTATCTTTATCGATAGCTCCCGATTGCATTTGGCGCCCAAGCGACCGCCTAATAGAGGTGCAGCAACATCGATGAAAACATCGATGCATCGATGTTTTTGAAATTTTTCTAAATCATCGATGTTTTTTTTCAACCATCGATGTTTCAGTGACGTCACTATCAAGAGAAAAAGGCAAAGGAGAGGTACGTAAAACGGCAGAAAGAAGTGGCAAAAAAATTTCTATGTGTCCCTGCCACTTCCTGCGAGTCAGAAAGAGCCTTCAGCAAGGCGGGGCAAATTATTTCTGACCGCAGGACGCGCCTAAAGGCTGATGTTGTTGACCAACTTATGTTTATTAACAAAAACCACATTTTTTTAAAAAATGTTTAGCTTAATTTAAGAAATGATCTCCTTTTTTGAAACCAGTGAATAAATGTTTTGTTTTTCTATTTTTAATACAACCACAAGTGTGCATTTTAATAATTTAAAAAAATATTTTTTTAATTTTTAAAAACATCGATGTTTCATCGATGTTTTGGGTGAAAAACATCGAGAACATCGATGGGTCCATACATCGATGTTTTTGCACCTCTACCGCCTAAACTAGTGATGCCAGTTAATTATCGAACTTATCGAAATGGCTAAAAAAAAGCTATATTTAAAATTTGAATAGAAGAAGTTCGTGACAGTCAATTACCGCGTGCAGCAATCACTTAAAAAATCTAAGGATAAATAAAATTAAATCACTTTATTTTCATGTAAGACATATGAATATATATATTTAAATAAATAAACCGAATTTGGATTCTAATTGTTATGAATTTTCATCGTCCCATAAAAAGTTGCCTTCCTATTAAAGATATACACTTTTGTGTGGGCTTATAAGGCCTGAATAGTTACACTAATTTCTGAAATTAAATAGTCAATTTATTCCAGAAATAAATGTTTTGTTTTCCGCTATAACTGAATTAAAAAAAGTACGTAAAAAAGTAGGATTGTCGCCTGTTTTTTTATTATTGCCTATTTTTTTTTTATACCCTTGCAGAGGGTATTATAATTTTGGTCAAAAGTGTGCAACGCAGTGAAGGAGACCTCTCTGACCCTATAAAGTATACATATTCTTGATCAGGATCGCGTCCTGAGTTGATATAAGCATGTCTGTCTCTCAGTTTTAAAGATATCGAATTGAAACTATGCACACACCCTTCTTTCCTTTGCACGCAGTATATAAGTCGGAACGGCTGGGATCGGCCGACTTTATCCTATAGCCGCCATATAACTGATTGATCGGAAATGCCATAACTTTGGTGTTTGGGTTTCAACAAGCTATATATTCGATAATACATTTTTTTGAACTTAGCACCAATTTTACCTCAAAATGCACATCCTAACCTTTAAAATTCTTTTTTAGTTTTTTAAATACGATTAGAACTGTAAAGTTTCTGTAAATAACTATTCTTATTTTGGTTTGGGCGTTAAGGGGTTCCATTTTCACACTTTTAGGTTAGAATATATCTGGGTGCTGGAGCCATTTTGGCACCGGATTTGGATTCAGCGCGAAAAATTCCATGAGAAAAAGTGGGTCCAGTTTTTGGGTCCGGGATTTTCTAAAATTAGTTTGACTTGTGTTATTCATATGATGCACTCTTAATACTCATAAAAAATCCTAACTTCCTAACTTTAAAAACATCAAAAAGCTGGAGCAATTTTGGCACAGGATTTGGATTCAGCGCGAAAAATTGCATAAGAAAAAAAAAGTGTGTCCAGTTTTTGGGTCTAATAATTTACAGAATATTCTGCAAGGGTATATCAACTTCGGCTCCGCCCGAAGATAGCTTTCCTTTCTTGTTTATCTTCTGGTTAACAGATCTCGGTCATTAATATTTAATTTTCCTTAAAAGATAACCATTGTGAACTTTCCCATACACGCTTTAAAGATAGGTTCGTTAGAGATCGACCCAATTTGAACGAGTTGGTAAAACTGACCAATAAACTGTACTTTTAAAAATACACACATTAGTACACAATTAACGATCCCCCCGTAAATAAATTTTATACGGATTTTATAAACTTGGGAAAACGGTTATTATTAAGCAAAAAACGATTAAAAAAAGGGTACCATACAAAAATATTTAGTGTGATTGTCTTAATCAGAAAGCAGGGCCGTCGAGACCCACACCGGGCCCCGGGACATGAAATTTTATAGTTGATTTTCTTAAAAAATCAGAAATTGTTTCAATCGATATATCAAAATAAACAAAAATAGGATGCTCAGATCGAATGGGTCGGACTTTTTGTTTTATCTTTATCAATTTTTCTTAACATCTACATTTTCGAAAAAAAAATTCTCGCTGCCCTCCCCTCTCATCGGGACTGTCAGGAAGTTCAGAAAATTGAACTTTAATAACTGAAGTAAATTGTTGGTTTTATAATTGGTTAAATACGAAGTTCTTTTGGCCTTTTTTATTTCATCAGTAATAATAACTCCAGTCAAAAGTTTGCTAAGCAGGGAAGGAAAATTCAACGAAAAATCGAACTTAAAGGCTCGATGCTTAATCGATTGAAATAATTAATTTTTTAAGAGCTCCTTTTTGCCGTAGATAAAGTCCTAAATTGTAACACCTTTACTCTACAGTGTGTACTTTTTATACCCTTGCAGAGGGTATTATAATTTTGGTCAAAAGTGTGCAACGCAGTGAAGGAGACATCTCCGACCCTATAAAGTATATGTATATATTCTTGATCAGGATCACCTCCTGAGTTGATATAGCCATGTCCGTCTGTCTGTCCGTCTGTCTGTTTCTACGCAAACTAGTCTCTCAGTTTTAAAACTATCGAATTGAAACTTTGCACACAGCCTTCTTTCCTTTGCACGCAGTATATAAGTCGGAACGGCCGGGGTTTTATATTTGCCCAATCAATCCTACCTACCAAATTTCATAAGGATCGGCCGACTTTATCCTATAGCTGCCATATAACTGATTGATCGGAAATGCCATAACTTTGGTGTTTGTAACTAACTGATTGATCGGAAATGCCATAACTTTGGTGTTTGTTAAGCTAGGTTGGGATTTTCTATGGGTTTTATTTTTGGCCAATCAATCGGACCTACCAAATTTTATAAGGATCGGCCGACTATATCCTATAGCTGCCATATAACTGAACGATTGGAAATGGCATAAATTTGGTGTTTTTAAAGTTAGGAAGTTGAGATTTTTTATGAGTATCATATGCATCATATGAATAATTTTGGAGAATATAATTTACAGAGTATTCTGCAAGGGTATATCAACTTCGGCTCCGCCCGAAGTTAGCTTTCCTTTCTCGTTAAATATCTGAATGGAATTCCATTGAATAAAAATATTTAAATTGTAATATAATTTTTAATAAAATAAAAACTTATTTGCCGCTCAAAAAACAAGTATTAATTTACAAAAGCACGAACATCCAAAAACAACAAATGGGGCTCTCTTATTTATCCGACACCTTGACAAGGCGCTTCAGATTGGTGAAGAGCCGCAAAGTGAAATGGTAAATCATCTCCACCATGCTTAAGATGGAGAACCCCATAAACAAACCGAATATACCACCACAATTTGCCAAGAACTCGGTCATACCGTACAGTTCCGATCGCTTGGAAGTGATGAACTGGCTTTCTTTAAAATATATTGACAGGCGGGACATCTGCGAGCCGGGATACTCCTGAAGGAAGTCGGTGTCGCCCTCAGCCAACAGCATTTCCTCCAGATCGAAGTTGGCCTGTGAGATCTCCGTGTTGTACACAAGCGATGTGCAGGCGGGCATGCAATTACAGGCAGATTCAGTGCCCCGAGAATCCTCTCGACCGGCATTGAGAGATCTTACCCTTTTGAATTCCCTGACCAACAGCTGCCTTTCCGCCCGATCGTAGCAATGGATCTTATCCTCACTGCACACGGGCATATCCATGTTCCTTGGCATCGAGAACTTCACGCAACCGCACTTGGTCAAAGTGAAATTGGCCAGGCACTCCAGCTGGCAATTGGATTCGGTGTAAACCTTGAAGAAGCGCAGCGATCGCTCGTGGCTAAGGAAGCACTGCCTTCGAATCGGATGGTACTCGGCGATGCCCGTAGACATGGTGATCATGCTCGGCTTTACTGCGATCAACACCTCCTTGCCCATAGGAATGCGCACGAACTGCTTGGACACCTGCGGCACATCATCGGGAGCATGGAGCAGCACCTGGAGTACAAAAAAAAAAGCTATCATTCTACGTGTATTTGAATAGAAATTTAAATCTCGGCACAAGAACATTATCATTTTAAAACTGTTGGGAAAGGAAAACCCCCAAGAGAAATACGTTAATGGAGATTATAAATTTTAACCATTCTCACGAGTACATATTTTTTGAGCAGTGTATTGTTAGAGTAGTGGAAATAGTGGAAATACTAAAAAGTTTCCTATAATACCCGAAAAGAGCATGTGGCAGGTTGAATTAAACTTCCACTCGAACAGTCAAAAACTCATAATCTTTAAAGAATTGAAGAGTCAGTCTTTTCTAGGGTAAAATATATATTTGTTAATCAATAAACTTTGTGATAGAGAAAAAAAACTATTGACCTAGAATTTTAGAGGTCGGACCATACACAAGAGCGTGCAAATAATATTTTAAAAAAATATATATTTAATACAAAGATAAGATAATGATACGCCTTTATATCATCCATAAATTCTACCTTAAATCCTTGCACAGGTCCTCGGCAGGCATAGTCAACTTCCTGCCTAAAGCTTTGAAGAGCCAGAAAAATGCCAGATCGAGCTCCGGCACTCAGAACCCTTGCCGGAAAGGTTTCCACATCAGTACTGGGTGCATAGCCCGTTTCTAGAGTCCAGGGCGGGTGACGCAAGCTTATGTTTTCCATCTCCAAGGGCTCCCCGCTATGCCGGTGCTGATAGGTGCCCTCTCGATATATTTCGGAGGCACGCAGCCCATTGAAGGTAAAGCAGATGCCCTCCTCCGTAAGAGTCTTTCGGAAAAACTTCTCGCACTCACCGAAGCGACTCAGCCAGCGGCAGTAGAAGAAATACCGATCAAACTGGGGCAGCATCCTTTCCAAAACTTCGAAGTAGTCCAAGTCGGCGCCGGCAATCAAGGGCATGTCCTCGTCGATGATTTGGGTGTTGCACACGTGCAGGAGTGTACGGAACTCCTCCATCTCCAAGGCGGTAACATTTTGGGGCTTAAACACTCGCGAAGCTCGCTTTTCCTCGCTGAACTGGCTGTAGAGGTCCGCATACGTGGTTTCCTTACCTATTTAATAAATAATAATAATTAATAATAAAATAATTTGTATAATTTAATTAGACAAAGCTTTAGAAACGATTTTAATTGTTTACCTAAATTAAGACTAATTTTCTTACGGAAAACTTTCTCAACTAACCTTTCTGCTTTAAGACACGCTTGGTTTCCGAGCAAACAGTGACCGCCGGGAAAGGGATGCTCCACACGGGGGTCGATTTCTCTGCGAAACTGACGATGACGGGCTGTCAAGTGATAGAAGTCAATAATATTTTTTAATGGATTAAGCCAGCGAAAGCTTATTCGGACGGCTATTTATCCACTTTATTTTTATACCCATGCAGAGGGTATTTTAATTTTAGTAAAAAGTTTGCAACGCTGTAAAGGAGACATTTCCGACCCTATAGTAATATATTCTATATATATAGTATATATATTTCTTGATCAGCATCACCAGGAGAGTCGATCTAGCCATGTCCGTCTGTCCGTCCGTCTGTCCGTTCGTCCGTCTCTCCGCCCGTCCGTCCGTTCCTACACAAACTAGTCCCTCAGTTTAAAAGCTTTCTGCTTAAAACTTTCCCAAAAGTTGTCTTTCTATTGCAGGTAGTATATAGGTCGGAACGAGCCGGATCGGGCGTCTATATCATATAGCTCCCATAGGAACAATAGGAATAAAAATTCAAAACAAGAAAGGAAAGCTAACTTCGGGCGGAGCCGAATATACCCTTGCATGATATGCTGTAAATTTTATTCTCCAAAATTATTTATATGATGCATTCTTAATACTCGGCCGATCCTTATGAAATTTGGTATGTCGGATTGATTGGCCAAATATAAAACCCATAGAGAATCCCAACTTCCTAACTTTATAAACACCAAAGTTATGGCATTTCCGATCAATCAGTTATATGGCGGCTATAGGATATAGTCGGCCGATCCGACTTATATACTGCGTGCAAAGGAAAGAAGGGTGTGTGCAAAGTTTCAATTCGATTTCTTAAAAACTGAGAGACTATTTCGCGTAGAAACAGACAGCCGACAGACGGACATGCTTATATCAACTCAGGAGTATATAAACTTCTGCTTGCCGAAGTTAGCTTCCTTTCTTGTTTAGTTTTTACTTTCGATCAAAATGAGTTTAAAATTAACTCTGAAATCTCACCGTTTCGGTCCACTTTGTGTAGGCACTGACAATCAGCGTGGAGCAGCCATAAATCGAGATCAGAAACGCGAACAGCCAGAAGATCCGCTCGCGCATGGGCCGCTCCCGCTCACCCAGATATTGCACCCCGTGGATGGAGGTATTCTCGCAGTACTCGTGGTACGTGGTGATGAAACCCTCGCAGGAGGCGGAGCCCAGCTTTCTCTTCTTCTTGGCGGTCAGGTCGATGGACACACTTTTGCCCTCCAGATCGGACTCGGACATAGTCAGACTGGTGTGTATTCCACTCTTGACGCGCACAATTAACAAATTGGAAGCATGAAATAAATAGCACGAAGCAGAAAAAGTGCAAAGCACACAAAAAACGAATTCGAAGCGTGAAATAGGTCGAGGTAAAAAAGTGCAAAACAAACATTTTACCGTTAGTCGGTAAAGCTGCCAGACTGTCCGCTTTTTTTTATTTTATATCTTCGAAATTTCTTTCCTATTCCGTGTAACACACAAATATTTTCCTGATGAAAGGTTTTTGTTTTTTTTTTTGAAATAAAATCACAAAGAAATCCGATATTATAAAATTAAAAATTGGTTTTTTGATATGATGTATTTAAAAAATGTAAATATATAAATGCACAAATCGGAAGTAATCGTTTTATATCAATTTGATCTATTAAAATCTCAATTAAAACCCAGCTTTGAAGCCCTTTAGCCATATTACGATAAATACTAAAATACCTCGGCTGTTCTGCGTGAGTGTTTCCGTGCGTGACTTATTTTTGTACCGTTTTTGCCATCGCTAGAAACGACGCCAGAATTATATCAATATTATTAAAAATGGTTACGAGAACTTGCGCGTACAAAGATTGCGAATATTACTATGCCCTCCACGACAACGGGCACACCAAGCAAAGAACCCTGTTCGCCTTTCCCAAACAACCGGAAAGGGCTCGAGTGTGGCGGGTAAATGGGAGGGTGCATCCGAAGATTCCCCAGAACCAGCTGTTTATGTGCTCCAGTCACTTCGACCGCAAGTTCATATCCTCTTCGAAGCAGCGAACGCTCCTTGTGGGCGAGGCGCTGCCATTTCCGTACGAGGAAAGGGATCCCGTACCCGAAGCGGACCTCCAACAAGTAGCCTCAACGTCGCAGGAGAGCTACTATATAAATTTGAGCGATGATGAACTGAGCATTAATACCGTGGACACCACCTCAATCACCAAAACTGTTGATCCAGATCGTAAGTATAAACCTTTTCACACGCTATAGAAAAGGATCCACATAACAAAGCCTCAATAAGTTTTTGGGCCATAGGAGAATTGAAGTAGACTTTGGTTTTTAAACGAATACTTTTAAAAAGTATAAATGATATTAATCCTTTTTTAACCGGAAAAAATATTGTTTAATATTTTTTAAGTAGATATTGATTTTTGATATTAACGTTTATAATTTTCAGTTGACCTTGACATCGAACCGCCACCCGCCAAATGCCCCAAGATGCCGTCTATTGTCCTTTCTAAAAAGGACACTTCTAAGGCGCACCCCTGTCCGGCTGCGAAACCTGTTAGTATTGAAGAGGATAACATGGAGACCATCGATACCTCCGAAGTGACCGTATTTAATTTTAAGGGCGAAGAATTTGTGCAAATGTCCATGGAGTATTATATGAGTGAAAAGCGGAGAATGAACGATCTTCTAAAGAATTACAAAAACGCTCTAAGTAGCATTAAAAAACAATTGTCCGAGCTGGACCTTTAACCGAAATAATAGTAGAAAATTCCATCAACTCACTGACTGGATTTTATTTGGGATACGCACCTGATTAATTTATTTTATAGTACTTAAAGAACATACCAACTGATAAATATAAATACTAATTGTAAAAAGTAATTTCTAAATATATAAATTAATGTTCATTATAATTGATTTTAAAGTGGAATTAAAACCTTTTCCTCAACATCTTTGTATTTTGTATTCATGATTGTCTATATCCGTTTTCGTTGTATTTAGATGGAAGTATAAATATCAGAATCCATTCTTTGAATAAGATTTGAAACTTTTTAGTTTTATATGGACTTTCAATTATAACCATAAAGTGATTTTGTGTTTTTCGACCAAAAGCGAACAATTTGTGTTTCAGATTAATCACACATTTATAACTAAAAATAATTATTACTCAAGAAACATGGAATATAGGGCACTTTACTAAAGCTAAAATCATAATAGCGAACAGACTTAAAAATGATTTGTTTTATACGAAAACTAATGTAGTAGAATTACCAATCAATCGCTCAGTTCCGTGACATCTTCCACTTCGCTATCGACATCAATTCCATCGCTGAGATCCTCATCCTGATCCTGCAGTTCTTCGGGGATGCCTAACAAGAGGCGTTTGCGCTGAAGCAACGCTGCCCAGCTGAGACGGGTCTCGCAAAGCGGACACACTCCTCCAACTGGGATATAGTGACCTGGCTCATCGCTCAGCAGATAATTCGCTAGGCACAGCATGTGGCAGGTGAGCCGACAGGTAGGATTTGTACATCCCAGGCGGGATCGTTCCGGCTGCTCGATTCGCTGCATACACAGATGACACTCTAGGGCCCAAGCCACAGGAGCAGGAGCCACTGAATCATCACCTCTCTTACGTTGTGAGGCACTTATGGAGACCTTACCACTCACAATATCCATGTAGCTAGGGAGCGGCACATCAAATGCCCTCTCATAGTCCGTTTCTAGCCAGCGAACGGTGAGGGGCAATCTATTCCAAGGACCCACCCCCAGCATCCGGCTGAGGATCCTGAAGTTGTAGTCAAAGAACGTCTCCTTGGGCACTTTGCGCCTTAACTCAGGGTACATTTTAAGTCTGGTGGATAGCGAGGGCTGTTGCCAAGCCCACTCGAACTGGAGTGCTACTATGTTATTCGGGAATCCATGCACAATCATTACCATCTGCCAAGGCCCCTTGCGGCTGGTTTTCCTCGCGCCGCCAAAGTCGCACCCGAGATTATGCTGCCGAATCCGGCGTTTTGGGTTCACGGTAAAACCCACGTAGCACTTTCCCCGGTATCGAGAGTCCAAACTCTGACTGCAGAGCAAATAAACGCCGTAAAAGTGACCCTTGAAGGCGACGGCTTCCACCTGCTCTGAAACTGCATCCTGTGGGGCTGTGGATTCATGAACATGTAGGTGTATTAATGCAAGATCTTTAAAATCTGAAACATACATAGAATCAACCACAAAAGGAGTCGACAGCGAACCGAAGCAATGACATAATATTTTTATATTAAAACCCTTTCTAATTTAATTAGGGGCTTTGCATTACAGAAAACATAATAGTTGTTTTGGTTTCCTTTGTCACTAGGCGGTTGTGGAGATAAGGGCTAAGAAAATAACTTCATAGAATAATAAAACGGTGTAGGATGTTCCATCCAATTGGTAACTAGAAAGAAGACTATTTTCACGCCGTTTGAAAACCATCGATCACTTACTTTTTCTAGATCTTGCAGTTCTGGACGTTGAAACGGACAATTGATGGTCACGTAAAAATGTTCTTCATAAAGTCGAAAACGGCTTTTACTGTACGAGTAGCGGGTAAACAAATGTTATTTCAATCAAGTATTATAAAATACAAAAAAAAGGCTAAGCCTAGACCTTAGTGTCTGGAATAAAAACTATTTTATTCCTGGTTCTTAGACTATTTTATTGGTAAACTCTTAGTTGCCAGCGCTAGTTTAACTCTAGTTTTATGTTGGCCCCTGTGGAAAGGCCATTGATTTGTTGCTGCTGCTGTTGGGGGTTCCCCGCCTGAGCTTGAACTGGCTGCAATGCAGTGGCCGTCTGTTGGCAATCCGCCGTAGCTGCTGCTCCATTTACGTTGGGCGTGGCTGCCGCTGCTTCACCTCCCGTTGCAGCCTCGACCCCGTTAGCCTGCTGCTGTTGCTGCTGTTGTTGCTGCTGGGCGGCCGTCACATTCTCGATCAGTTTGATCCGCTTGCGAGTGTAGTGCTGCCACTGGAGAATGGCTTGGTCATCAATGAACTTGCAACACTGCGAATTGACGATCTCGCGGCGGAAGTGCTCGTACTGCAGCAAGTCGAGGAAGTAGAGGCACATTGGGTACATGAGGTATTTGGCATAATCCGGCTCCTTCCAGTACTGCAGATACTTCAGGTAGTTGATGAACGACTGGTCCTTGAAAAATCCGCGCTGGGCGAGGACTGGCAGAAGGAATTTCTAGGTTAGATAGGTCTTGCTTGAGAACTAAGGCAATGTTGAGGGCAAACACGGCACTAATAATATCTGATTGATCTATGTTAAAGTCAAATCAAAGCCATACTATAACGACTTCAGAAATTATAGAGACAAATAAAGTACGTATATGAGAAAGAAGCTAAAAATAAAGTTTGTACATATAATTTGTTGAAATGAAATAGAATATCTGCCTAAAACTAAATTTTTCCCAAAAATCAACACAATTATCTTTTCATGTAGTTAGAATCTGAAGTGAATTTGCATGCTGGAAGCAGAAAGGTGCCATCAACAAAAATAGCGGTAATTTTAAAATTATTAAAATGTTTCCCTACATTGGGAATACAATTTTAGAAGTTTAACTTAGACATTCCCTAAAACTTTTTTGAACTGAGAATTGGTAGTTGGTTTCGATTGAAAACACTTCCCCCAACTTCGAAGGTGTTATGAACATAAGGAACGTACAATTGAGATAGTTGGGGTTGGACAGGCACTGCACGAACTCCAGCTCGATCTGCCAGCGTCGCCTCTGCTGCTCCTCTGACTCGATCGCAGCTGCGGAATAGATATGGAAAGTATTAGTCCTGTAGGAATGCGCACATTACTCAGTAGCTCTAAGAAGATTTTTGCATGCCAAGCGGGTGTCAGTAGGTGTTAGGTTGCAATGCAATAGTGCGTGTGGATTGGCGTGTACTTACTCTTACCCTTTCCGTACATTTTGGCCATTTTGGACTTGTCTTTGGAAAGGGTCTCGTTGGTTCGGTATTTGCGTCTATTCAGTTTCGGTGTCGGGTTGGGTTTCTTGTTTTTCTTTCAGTGTGCTATATGGATGTGGCTGTGTGTACTGGTGCACCATCGAATTGGAAACGAAAAGTCACAGTAAACAATAACACACAAATAATAATAATAATAATAATAATAATATGCACTGGCTAAAGCAACAACAAAATGTATGGGACGCGCGGCAAATGACTGAGGCAGAAGAAAACAACGAAAATACGGATCAAAGGTAAACTCAGGGCACGAAAAATGGTCGACCAGATGGCTGGGCGCGGGCGGTAGGCTGTCGCTCCTTTTGTGTTTGTGATTTCTTGTGGGAAAGCAGTTAAATTCAGGTTTTAATTCTGTCTACAAACCGTAGGAGTTCATTTGGATTGCTGATGGCCGGCGACAACCCTACTTCTGCGGCTGTCAGAGTTGCCTATTAGCAGAAGTTCATTTAACATACTGAAATGTAGTATATTTTTATTTGGTATACTTCTTGATTTCGTGTAAATTTAGTATACATTTTTTGAAGAAACCTCCATCAGAATATGTTCCGAACTAAATTATGCAGTTCACAAAAATTCACTTCAAATCTCGAAATGCCTTAATAAAAAACTAGATAACTAATCAATGCACAATGTTGACTTGCTGTAAGCCGATGATGATTACTTTATTGTCAACAAAAAAATAAATTACAAAAAAACATTCTCTTTTAAAATTTAAATTTAAAGGAACAAATTTTATGTTTTGATTTCAACATAGCGCTATATCGCTAAGAATATAGTTAACCTTAGAAGCTTCACTATATCAACATAAATAGAATAAACGCCGATGCATGTCGTGATATTAATTATTAAAAGTAAAAATAAGGTATTATAAATTATGTAGAAAATCAACAAATCAATATTTGAGTTTTTTAAATATCTAGTATTTTAAAACTACCTAGCGACTACCCCTAATGTGATGCGCATTGAATATAGTATTTTTAGAAGCCACGACAATCGCATTCGTGAAAATCACTCCATGCCTGATTTCTTTGTCAGCCAGACGCTAGAAAAAAACTAAAAATTCGACTGATAAACATATCTCATCGGAACAAAACCACTAAAAAAACAATACTCGAAGAAAAACACATCTAAAGAGCAATAAAGTTTATTTAACAACTCTCTGCGCAGAAAAAGTACATGAATTACTCACGTCTGTTTTAAGGCCGAGGAAGAAACGAAGCTACGAATCTACGACGCAAAAGGCGTGAAAAATGTGAGTAGAAATGGAAATCTATTTTGGTTTATGTAATTAAGGTGCACATAAATAAAAATGACCCCGTTTTTAAGAAGTGATTCAACCTCCCACAGCAAAAATTTCATTATGGCGACTATAATTAGATTACAGTAGGATCTGTTAGAAAGCAACCCTAAATTTGAGTATGTATACAGCAGCCGTTGAAATAATAGAACCAAATATGGGTTTTTTGAAAGATGGCTATGGTGTAAGTTTATTATTTTGCTTATTGCATATTTCTATAACTACTATGTTTTTTATTCCTAGATACAAAAATGGTTAAAATATGTTTTATTTTATATACATATCTGCGTATGCATAAATAATATAAATTAGGGACCCTATGTTAAAATGTTTTGATCTGAGGGTTGTAACTATGGACACATCTGTGTTTAGGGGGAGGTTAAAGGTTTACCTACTGTTCGAACTGTTTTCCTGCAAGCAGCTGCAGATTTATTGGTGGATTTGGGAAATGGTTTGCTTGCGTGAGCTTAGCGTTAATGGATGTCAGCTGGCGTTACCTGTCCTTGGGCCACGCTTTGGTCCTTTTTTACTTACCTGCCTGCCTACAAAACTCATTGCATTTCTCTTTGTCCTTACAGTATCAAACCGGTTTTCGGAGAAGAAACACATCTACAGGACCGTTAAAGTGTCAAGCGGAAAACAGTGAAAACAGACAGATTTAAAGGATAAATTTATTGAAAGAATACCAAAGGAATTATGAACACTGGGATCTCCCTGAACGAACGCTTCACGCAGATGCAGTCGAAGCAGCAGCCGCAGGGACGCGGTCGCAGCCGCTCCCGGAGCAGGAGCCGCCGCATCGTGGACAGCGGCGCTGGGAATCCAGGAGTTTCGGCAGCCAACTCCCGCCTGCTGCAGGAGTTCAAGCGTCGTCACACCGTCCAGACGGCCCTCAAGCTGAAGCGCGTACGTGTCCCCCCAAAAAACCGAATATTACAAACAGACACCAGAGGAATCCGACCAGATCCGTAGGACAGGTCGAAGCCTGGCAGCAGTGGCTTGGAATAATCCGGAGGAGATGGAGTCGGAACCGGCTGTCGAGCCCAAGTGCGCCTTCTGCGTGGTCCCCCAACACCCTCCAGCCTCTCAGACTCTCTATCTCTATCTCCTTTGAACTTGAACTCCAACACTGTGCAGCAGCGTACTGAAACCAAAACTTCCTACACAACCTTATGCCTCCTTACAGAGAAGCTTACGGACCACCGGCGTGAGCGGACGTGGAGCCCGCGTTGGCGGCGTCAAGTCGCTGCGCCTGGCGCCCAACGGAAAGCCCATGCGGTCCAACAACGTGACCAGGGTAGCAACGTAAGCATCTCGTCTCTAATCGCGCTCAAGCTTTCCCAATCCACTGCAACATCTCTGTACTTCTTCGTTAATCGCCCAGGATGCGTGCCGATCTAGTGGCCAGCGCCAGTGTGGGCCGCAATCGCCGCAGCGGCAGCAGCACCCGCCGCTTTCCCGCTTCCGGCGGAGGCGGCGGTGGCCTTCGTCAGCGACTAGGGCAGCGCCGTTCCTCAGTAGGCGGTGCAGCCGAGCGCGTAGAACGCCGTCAGCGACAGCAGCAGCAGTATCAGCAGCATCAGCAGCAAGCCCCACGTGGACGTTCCCGCTCGCGATCCCGCTCGCGTCTCCCTCAACCGCAGCGTGTGGACAGAGGTCGCTCCCAGAGCCGTGGACGCAGCGTAGGGCGTTCCCAGAGCCGTAATCGCGATCGCTCCGCTCAAGGACGAGTCCCGGTGAAACAGCGCCTTTCGGTCAAGCATCGCCTCGGCGTGCGTCCCGGCCAGGGAAACAACCAGGGCAACCAGGCCAAGAACCCAAGACAGCGCCGTTCATCAAGCCAACTACGAGGCGTGGCTGGCGGGCGAGTCGAGAAGCGTCGTAACGCAAAGATTCCTCAAAAGAAGGGAGTCTCCGCCTCGATTGCCGGACGCCAGGGACGACCACGCGGAAGGTATGTGGAGTGCCTATTCTAAAATTACTACATGTTTACGGAGGACAGAATAACGAAACTATTGAAAAGTTAAAACAATCTATGAGATCACAAAGATGTGAAAAGGACAGTGTAGGCGAATGCGATATTTCACGCTGAAGTGAATAAATTTGCATGATTTAATGACAATTCTATATTGAGAAAAGGTTCTAACGGTCGATACGATACTTCTTGTAATAATTTTGGTTTAAAGCTCCAAGAATTCAGAATACATTTGGCCAAAGTGGCATTTTAAAACAATATAAGTTTAACTTGAATATTTATATGGGTAATCTTTTTCAGCTGAAGAAATACTCATCAATACATTTTATTTCAGATCTGCTCTTAGGAACGCTGCTGCTGGCGGAGGGGCTGCCAAAAACTCTGCTCCGGCGCGTCGCTCACGCTCGCGCAATCGCGCAGCCGTCGCTGCTGCTGCCGCTGCCACCGCTGCCGCTCCGGGCCGGGCTAATCCTCGCCAGCGACGTGGACGCAGTGCGGGCGCTGCCAAGGGCAACAACATCAGCAACAACAACAAAAATGGTAAAACCAACAAAAACGGAAAGGGCAAGGCGGCAAACGGTGGCAAACAGGCCCCGCAGCAACAGGCTCGAAGGGGACGCAGTCGTAGTCGTAACCCTGCAGGTAAAAGCGCGACAAGTGGCCAGGAGACCAACCGGACCGGATCTGGGCATCGGCACTTGAAAAACAAAATTGTTCATTTTTCCAATCCCCATTCCCTTTGAACTCTTATTTATAATGATGTATTTCTCTCACTATTAGGCAAACCACAGCGGTCTGAGGTGAAACGCGAGGATCTTGACATGGAATTGGATCAGTACATGTCCACCACTAAGTCTGAGATGGACTACTTGCTTAAGTAAAATCAAATAGAGTGGACCAAAATTTAAGCCAATAAGATGAATAGAAGGAAGAGGATAATTGAAAGCTACCACCGGCTATAGACAGAATATGTTTCTCTCATCGCACTAAGTTACCGCCTAGTTGATAGTTATTTTTAAGCCTTAAAACCGCATTATAAAAGCGCCCATAAAGCGTCTCTTAAACTTAAAAATGTTTTCGTGTACATATGGCAAGCTGTAAAACTCTAAGTAAATCTGGCCGATAAATGTAATGTTAATCGCATTTTCGAAATACAAATTAATTATTGCTCATCTTAAAAAGTAATGAAAAAAAGCGTTTTAATGGATACTGATATTTGTTGGTAAACAATTTGGTTTTGAAAATCGTATTTATAGTTTATGTAGTTGAATATCATATTTTTCATTCACGGCCAATGTTTATCGAATTAGTGTTACTGATTTATTTGCTTTGCAAACATAACAAGAGAGAACGCTATAGTCGGATGCCCCGACTATCAGATACCCGTTACTCAGGTAAAGGGAGTGCGAGGGAGATGGAGATAGAAACTTTGATCACGCATAACTTTTTAACGAATGGTCCGATTTGAAAAATTTCTTCTACATTTCGATAGGTATTGATAAATACAATAAAACTGCATTTTTACTTTTCCGAAATATTTAAATTTTTAAAATCGTATATAAGCGATTGTGGGCGTTAAAGGGGGCGTGGCACCATTTTGAAACAAACTTGCGCTGCGTAGGAACTTCTAAAATCTACATGCAAAATGTCAATCTTCTAGCTTTTATAGTTTCCGAGATCTCAGCGTTCATACGGACAGACAGACGGACAGACAGACGGACAGACGGACATGGCTAGATCGACTCGGCTAGTGATCCTGATCAAGAATATATATACTTTATAGGGTCGGAAACGCTTCCTTCTAGCTGTTACATACTTTTGCACGAATACAATATACCCTTTTACTCTACGAGTAACGGGTATAAAAATAATACACCATTCCAGCCACAATTTTCTTTATTGAATTTTTTAGAGATAGTCATAACTGTTACAACTTAAATAATATAGGTATATTTTTGTTTTTCAATTTTATTTCATAATTAACGATGACGGAAGCTAACTTCGGCAAGCCGAAGTTTTAATACCCTTGCAGACTTTGACGAAATTGCTAAAAGTGAAAAAGTAGCGAAAGGAATAAGGTATACATAAGTAAACTAGATTTGCATCGTTTCAAGTCAATTGCTTTTATACTGCAAAAATGTCATATACAAATAAAAAAAAAGGGATACTTTCGCAGCCTTTAACAATTTTTCCTATCTCCTTTAAGATATAGACTTCCGAGCGGCAAGCGCTTTTACCCTAATCAAGATATGCGTAAATAAATAAGAATTGGAAAATTTTATGTTAGTAGCTTACACACTGCGCGAAATATTCTGATAATCATCAAATTTGGACCGATTTCACCCTATTGTTCCTATGGGAGCTATAGGATATAGACGTCCGATCGGCACGCGCTTTCACCTTGATCAATGTATGCATAAAAAAATAGGATTTGGAAAGATTTATGTCAATAGCTTGTATACTGCGTGAAATATCCTAAAAATCATTAAATTTTAACCGATTTTACCCTTTTGTTCCTATGGGAGCTATAGGATATAGACGTCCGATCGTCACGCGCTTTTACTCTGATCAAGGTACGCATAAAAAAATAAGATTTGGAAAGATTTATGTCAATAGCTTTTACACTGCGCGAAATATCTTCCATTCTTGCAAGTTATATCCGATTGTTCCTATGGGAGCTATAGGATATAGACATCCGATCGGGGCGGTTTTCAAACTTGATCTGCGTACACTTGTTTTAGGACGACTGTTAAAGTTTCAGATCGCTAGCTTTTAAACTGAGCTCGCAAACGGTATTGAAACAGACGGACAGACGGACAGACGGACATGGCTATATCGACTCCCCTATTGATCCTGATCAAGAATATATATACTTTATAGGGTCGGAAACGTCTCCTTCACTGCGTTACAAACTTCTGACCAAAATTATAATACCCTCTGCAAGGGTATAAAAATCATTCCAATTATATGGGCCACTTAATTCAAAATATCGGCAATCACCAATTTTCTTATTCCTTTGGACCTGTGGGTGATAAAAAATAAACTTGGATCTTTACTCAGAAGTACCAAATATTATAGAAAATTATAATTGGTTCGTAAAATTGTTTGGCCGTATTTTTTTTTAATTTAAAAAAAATTCAACACACCTCAAGAATTTTTCATTGCTTGGTTTTATGATTAAGAAAGGTAATCTTTCCCAGTGTGCACTGGTATATATAAATGCGTGTAAGAAACATAGGGTATATACAACCTTGTGTACACAACCCTCCCACTTCCAATGATATTACCGATCTGCAATATTTAGAAACAAAAATTTTAATTCTACCCGTCAACATTCATAATAGAAATTAAGAAAGTTTTTTTTCAATCAGTGGTCGAATTGTTAATTTAATTCGGTGTCATAATTGGTATACTCATTAAGCTTAAAGTTTTGTCTTGTAAATTAATATCACTATAGTTTTTATCTAAATCATTGGTAGAGTTGCTTTTGATTATTGAACATTAGTATATAACTTTGATTTTGTGTGTAATAAGGTTCGATTTATTACTTTTCGATTAGTTTTTCTTCTTAGGGAGACTAAAAAATGTGTAACAAAAGATGTAATATTATTGCAAGGCTAGAAGATAGTCTTAAACAACAATATTTCACCCTACACCATTTGTTAGCCAGAATTGACAGAATCATGTTTACGACTGTTTACCGGTCCTTCATTGATGTCTAGAAAGTTTTATATTGATGTCGATCTTTTCTTTGTGCACTGCATCTTTGTTGTTTTATTTCTCTATTATTGGTGCTTGTGTAAATTTTTATAATCAATAAACTCCGTTATGAAATTCTTTTATTCGGTAAGGAATCCAGGACTAACTCAATCTTAATCATTAAACTCCGTTCTGAAATCCTTTTATTGGGTAAGCAATCCCGGACCAACTCAATCCTAATCAAGGCTCATTAGATATTAAGTAGCCAAATACAACCGGTCAATGCGATTAGTTGTCAGCGGTAATCAACCGCAACTGGCAAAACAAACCAATCTGCTCTACCCGTCACTCAACACCACCCAAAAATCACCTATCCACCCGAAAACGGAAGGCAATCCGCTAATTAACACAAAATGGTCATTTGTTTCCTTGCTAATTGCCTTGGCTAGGTGGGAGGACAAGTGAGGACATATCCTGCTTTCCTCCTGGGATCCTCGTCATTAACCCGTTGTTGCTTGTCAGCTGTTTGAAAGCATTTAACAAATTATAAGCAATTAGGAAGTGTTGCTTTGTCCGAATATTATACTTTTTAGCTACAAGTTGAGCACGATTTAATGGCCGACGCACAGTGGGGAATAGTTGCAAAAAGAACAATATCAATGGTAAACTCTAAAAAATATGGAGAATATGCTTTGTTATCTGTATTTCTTTATGAGGAATTTTATTCACAGAAGAAATACAATATTGTCGGATGGAAAATATATAGTTGTATACAAGTCTCTGTCATTCTGAATCAGCACAAGACCTCTAAACAAATTTTTTAAAAAATATAGATTGCTGAACACGTTCTTATCATCAAGGAAAAGACAAATTAAGGATCCTTCCAACATGTTTGCCTTATCTCCAATTCATTTATTATACCCTTGCAGAGGGTATTATAATTTTGGTCAAAAGTGTGCAACGACCCTATAAAGTATATATATTCTTGATCAGGATCACCTCCTGAGTTGATATAGCCATGTCCGTCTGTCCGTCTGTTCGTCTGTCTGTCCGTCTGTCTGTCCGTCTGTCTGTCCGTCTGTCTGTCCGTCTGTCTGTTTCTACGCGAACTAGTCTCTCAGTTTTAAAGATATCGAATTGAAACTTTGCATACACCCTTCTTTCCTTTGCACGCAGTATATATGTCGGAACGGCCGGGATCGGCCGACTATATCCAAAGCTGCCATATAACTGATTGATCGGAAATGCAATAACTTTGGTGTTTGTAAAGTTAGGAAATTGGGATTTTCTATGGGTTTTATATTTGGCCAATCAATACGACCTGCCAAATTCAAAAGTGTCAAAAGTGTGCAACGCAGTGAAGGAGACATCTCCGACCCTATAAAGTATATATATTCTTGATCAGGATCACCTCCTGAGTTGATATAGCCATGTCCGTCTGTCCGTCTGTCTGTCCGTCTGTCTGTCCGTCTGTCTGTCCGTCTGTCTGTCCGTCTGTCTGTCCGTCTGTCTGTCCGTCTGTCTGTCCGTCTGTCTGTCCGTCTGTCTGTCCGTCTGTCTGTTTCTACGCGAACTAGTCTCTCAGTTTTAAAGATATCGAATTGAAACTTTGCACACACCCTTCTTTCCTTTGCACGCAGTATATAAGTCGGAACGGCCGGGATCGGCCGACTATATCCTATAGCTGCCATATAACTGATTGATCGGAAATGCCATAACTCTGCTGTTTGTTAAGTTAGGAAGTTGAGACTTTCTATGGGTTTTATATTTGGCCAATCAATCTGACGTACCAAATTTCATAAGGATCGGCCGACTATATCCTATAGCTGCTATAGAACTGATTGATCGGAAATGCCATAACTTTCGTGTTTGTAAAGTTAGGAAGTTGGGATTTTCTATGGGTTTTATATTTGGCCAATTAATCCTACCTACCAAATTTCATAAGGATCGGCCGACTATATCTTATAGCTGCCATATAACTGATTGATCGGAAATGCCATAACTTTGGTGTTTGTTAAGTTAGAAAGTTGGGATTTTCTATGGGTTTTATTTTTACCCAATCAATTCGACATATCAAATTTCATAAGGATCGGCCGACTATATCCTGTAGCTGCCATATAACTGAACGATTGGAAATGCCATAACTTTGGTGTTTTTAAAGTTAGGAAGGTGGGATTTTTTATGAGTATTAAGAATGCATCATATGAATAATTTTGGAGAATATAATTTGCAGAATATTCTGCAAGGGTATTTCAACTTCGGCTCCGCCCGAAGTTAGCTTTCCTTTCTTGTTTTTACTCTGCATAAGGTTAAGTCATGAGAAGGGCTGGAATCATATTATTTCTATTAGATATACCTTCTTCTAAGAATAAATGCAAACTTTAACAAGCCGAAGCTTATATACCCTTGCAGCCGTTACAGAAATAAAATATTCTATATACTGATTTCAATCCTTAAATTTTCCGATCAATCTTTCGATCGTTTCTGTGGCATCAATAGTCGTCCGATTTTAACAAAAGTAAAACTGTAATTCTGTTATCGTTAAAAATGACTATAACTCGTAATATACCGATTGTTACTATGGCTGCTATATTGATTAATGAACGGAAATGTGTCCTTCTAGACTCTGCAAGGACATAAAAATAAGATATAGTCGTGGATATTCTCTTGTTTAATAACCGTTGCTTAAACGTATTCGTAATTTTCGTTAGTATTAGGTAAAGTTGCCATTACATTTTCAGGCATGGTAGTTGTGAATGGCTTTTGAGACCGTTAACTTTAAACTGCCGTTTTAACTTGAGTTGAGAATGGAGTGAAAACAGGAAATCGTCCCAGCGGCGCGGCTGAAAAAACCAATTTGACTAATCTGCACAGGCTACACAGAAAAGGTTGCAAAGTCCTGATGGGCAGGTGGCGACGACTTAAGACTTTCCTCTTTCGGGCATCGGAAAGCAAATTTGCGGTGGTTAAATCGCTTGCTGAATGTCTAAGCAAACAAGAAATGACCCTAAATTCGACAGGCCGTAGTTTACATACCCTTACTGATAAAAAACTAAGACGAATATAATGTAGTTATGTCAATTAAACGATGGTTCCTACGGTAACTATATGTTATAGTAGTCCAAATTTGATTAAACTAAAGTCCGATCCTGAAATTAAAAATTGGTTTTTTGGGAAAGTCTAATCCGAATTGTTTTAGAACTAAGAGACTACATTAAGTAGAAAGACGGACAGGCGTACGTGTTTAGATTGAATTGGCTATTGATCGTGATCAAAAATATATACATATGTACTTGACGGTGTGAAATGTCTCTCTTTCTGTGGTCCAAACTTTCAACTAAAAAGTTAATGCCCTCTGCTAGAGTAACAAAACTACACAGCTGAGTGCTTCCCGGTCTCAAAAGAGATTATAAACATATTAAGAATCGCAAAATAAATGTAAATTCTGAGCCGTTTAAAATTTGTGTCGTGTGGTTATTTCTATTAAAATAAAACATATTCTCCTAGTTTTAAACGTTTTTTTAAAGAAACAAAAGTCTTATTTTAAGAAATTTTATGTCTGTCTAAACATATTTAGTTACTGTCATCAACAATTTTTCAAATGACCTTTGTATTGGGCCACGCTGTTTGCTAAAAAAGCGAAAATATATTGAATGTCAGGCGGTGCCACACATAAAGTATTTATATTATGTGTTACTTTACGAATAATTTTAATGCCACTCTCTTAAAAATGTACTTCATTGAATTTGACAAATCTGTTTATAGATTAAAACAACTGTTTTGGTTGTTTTCAAATAATCAGTGTTTTGCAATCCTTGTTTTGATAAAGAACCCTAAAAATTTTTATTTTCTTTAAAAAATTTGTATTGTTTTACTTTTAAAATTGGGTATGGCTATACCATATTTTATGATGCATACAATACAATGATACAATATTTCGTTTCAGTCTACTAGAAACGAATATATAAACCTATATTTGCTTGAAATTGCTTGTGAAAAGAACCATGTAGACATTCCAATAAAATTTGTCAATGTCAAATTCAAATACTATAGAATAACTCGACTTAGAATACAAAAATATATTATTTAATTTTCGGTGTATTTGAATTTGTAAGTACACAAATGTATTATTTTGTGTTTTGATAAAATTTAAATGCGTCACCGAATTTTAAATGGTGGTAGACAATCACAATTTCTTTATTTGTGCAAGTAAGTAAATTACATTCAGCTGCGACCCGCTCCCGACCATCCATTGCACCCGGCTTTAGATGTTAATCAACGCTCTTGAGGCCGCGGGACCGAGAAAGTGCAAAAGTAAACAGCAAAATACCAGCGGTGCAATCAATTTCATGGTGAACTAAGACAGCTCTAAGCCATAAACAACAGTCAGTCAGCGGCAACTTAATTGTGGTTCCCAACTTTGTTGTCACCGCCGTTTGGCCCAAGTCTGTATTTCGAGTGGCTTTCGCGAACTCAGCGTTTCGAGTTCCTGGTGCCAATGTGCTCCCGAAGGCGAAGGCATTCAACACGGCGAAACACAGTGGCAACTGCAACTTAAAGCACTCGTCCATAACAGATTCAGTTATCCTCGATCTATATTTTATGCTTCAGTTGACAAACGATTTATGCAGAATATATTTTTTTCCACCAACTAAAAGATACCTAAAGTTCATTAACGCGCGTTTTTGTACAAATTTTGAGAATTTTTAATTTTAACCCTACTTTTAACTAACCAAAAGGACCAAATTTCTATGTTTGTTTATAAAACTTATTTGTCTTCGTTAAAAATCCTTTCCGACCATATTAAGAATATAATATATATTTGGGGTTTTTAAAGACGTGCATGAATACAAAAAAAAAATGGGGATTGGGTATCCAAACAATTTTGTTCATTAAATTACAATTTCATTGTTTGATGACATTATTGCAACCATAAATAACCGTAATGGTAAAGAAACTTTCTTCACTATCATCTAATTTAAAATTGTCGGCATTTATCTGAAAGATGGTCCCAGCAATGAATTTTACTAATGTTTCCATGTCTGCATTTTTAATATACGAGATGTTTTAAGTTTTTAAAGAATTTGTATATCCCTTACATATATCTACATTTTTTTAAATATACATTGAAGTCTTCGATTATTGAGTAAGAAACAGGAAAGAGAATGGAAAGGGGAAAGCAAGATATTCCGTTGTGCATTAAATTCAGGACAACAATGCAATTTTCATGACATTTATGAGCAGCGAACACACTGGCACCCCGCGATTATTGAAGCCACCACCAAAGTTTAATGCGGTTGTCAAGTAACCAAAGCTGACAGAAGTGGGGTGTTTGCGTTTGTGTGGGTGAAAAGCTCAAATGGAAGGAAGTTATGACGTAAAGCACTTAAGTCCGCCTAAAACTCTCATATCTTGATTAGATACGCTTCGGGGCTGACATTTTGGGGTTGCACTAAAATCCCGTATTATTTGTTGCCAACTCAGCCTTCGACACGGCTGATGTCTCCTGAAAATGCAGCTAAAGTCCATACTTGATTCTTAACAATAGAATTATTATGTTTTCTCTTTTATTTCTGTCTGGTTTTATTCGACTTAATCGCTCAGTATACTGCATCGGAGTTGTAAAGCAGCATATTGGCTCTGAAGTAGTCTTGATTATGGCTACCAGATATTCTGGAATGTGCAACCGATTTGGGAACCTGAAAATAACGTCCCACCTCGTCCTTCGATGACTTGGTTTCTTCAATAGTCGGGAAAGAAAAAAAATTTTAAAGAATACGTATTGCGGTTCATATTTATTTATCAAGTTTTGAAATTCATGTTCTTGAACGGTTAGCTTACTTACTACGGAAAGACACATACACACAGGATGAACTAAAGGAACAGCAATGCTGTGTGGGCAATTTAAATATACCTTAAGGGTGGGTTAGAAATCCAATTCCTTTCTAAACAAATTCATCGCTTTCTAATGACTACCAAACGAATTTGCCATATTTAATTTCAATGATTTATAATAAGTTAAACCTAGTACTACATTTAGTTTTCTATTGTTTTTCAACAAATGTTCTTTGTTTTTGACTTAGGAATAGAGCGATGATTAAAGCTAGAATGTTGGCATGGAAATGAAACACAGTCAATATTGCACTCACTAACTCTCACTTAACCTCTCCCTATTTTTTCTTCCTTTTACATATGGTACAATGATATGTGATGTGTTTTAAGTTAAGTATTTTGCTTTATAGGTCCTACAAAAGTCGTCAATTTGATTGTTATTATTTTTTGGAAAGTTTTGCATGAATCTCCCTGAAGTAAGTGTTTCCTTTGATTAACAGCTTGTAATATTAGTTGACCGTTTGTGTTTGGCTGTTTCGTCGGTTTAAATTCGTATCTATTTAGCATGTAACCAATGGTGGCTCAGCACTCGTCATCGGTGATCGTGTAGCTTCCTCTAAACTCGCTCAATGGCGTCGCGTTTGCGGTGGATGGCGTCATGAGCGGCGCCCCCTGAAAGGAAATGGCCAGCGGGAGGGCCGAGGGGGCGCACAGGCTCAGGGCGCTTCGTCCTTCGGTAACGGAACGGAAGCGCAGCGGGCGGCCGGAACTGCAATTGGATGATAATAACTGGGTTATTGGCTTCGCCTTCAAAAACTATTTTAAGTCAATAGGATTATAGTTGAAATTCACAGGCTTATAGATAACAACTATTTTTTATCTACCAGAAATCACTGTATATAATTTCGCTTCCTTAGGCTTTCTTTAAGGTAAAACGTTAAAGTACTTTTGTGTAAAACACTTTTATAGACAAATATACTTTGCACTGGAAGATACATGGGCATCTGAGATTATCTGGGATTAGACCACTTTCAGTAAAAAGGGGAAAGGGAGGCTCCTAGAAGGTAAACAAAATAAATTCAAGTGATTTTAAGGTTTTACATTTCAATGCTTGCACAGACATTGTTTTAAACCAATTTAAAGTAACAAACTTTTCTTTCTTCCTTTAGCTCAACAATATTCCCTGTAATTTAGTCTGACAGAGCTGGATTTCTAATCGCTGCTCATTCATTTACTGCTACATACACACTCTTTGCCTCCGCCATTTGGCTTGATTCCACTGCCAAAGTAAAAATCCCTTAAAATCAATCATTCGTCACGTTGCACATTAATCCCCAGCACAATGCACTCCCCAGAGCAATAAATTGTGTCCAATTCCCCGTGTCGCTTGGCTGCATTCCTTCTCCCTCCCCAACTCACCGTTCGCAGTTGCACTTGAGCAGGCGGATGAAGGCCGCCCGGAACGTGCGATTGAAAATGGTGTAGATGATTGGATTGATCGTCGAGGAGACGTAGCCTAGCCAGAGACAAGTGTTCACCACGTGCTCGGGCACCTGGCACTCGGGACATGCGGCAAATATGATGTTCAGGATGAAGAACGGCGACCAGCACAGGACGAAGGTGAAGAACACCAGTCCGAGCACCTTGGTGGCCTTCTGCTCTGTGGCAACCGCATTGGCCGACAAGCTGTTCCGCTTGCTGCGATTGTTTAGGAATCTGCAAGGAAAGATTCGTCAAAACAGCTTTCAATAAACAGAAAAAGAATAAAGAAAGTAATATTGTCCGCTGTGTGGTTACATCGTAATTTAATGTTAGGCTGATCAGTCCAACTTAAGCTCGATGTATTTGAACATTTATCTAATCGAGTTAAATAATTATTATAACCTTGTTTTAAAAAAAGGAGTTTTTTAATTTAAAGGTCATTTCTTTCTTAAAAATGCTAAAGCTTGAAAACGCTTCCGCGCTTTAGATTTAAAATTAATGTATTTTACAAATAAAATCTTCTATGCGATTCTTTTTTGTTTAATTTACTGAAAACAAATTTGTTAATCAAAAGCGTAAGCTTGTAAAATTCCTCAAGTCCGAAATATAGTGACTTAATGTTTAAGTTCCTTGAAATTGCTGCACTCCACAACGCATACATTGTTTTCTTAGTTTCGAAGTTTTTTCGAGAACGTAATTATATTCCCCAGCATCACTCACCGTAAATTTAGGGTGGGCGTGGCAACGCGGTTTAATGCAAACTTAAAGGGCCGCATTTTGTGGCGCTGTCGTTCGTCAGGGTTTGAAGCCGGGGGCCTTCCCTGCTCCACCAGATGATTGCCTCCAGCTCCCTGACTCTGGCCGAGACTCAGAGTCGGGCCCTGGATGGTGGCGATTTTCATCATGCTGGTGCCTCCAGGAGTTGTGCAGCTCGTTGTCGCAGTTGATGAGCCATTGCCACCGCCTCCTCCTTCCGTCCCTCCACCAGCCCCACTCCCTCCACCTCCAGCTCCACTTCCATTGCCACTTCCATTAGGCGGGTAACCCAATTGTGGCTGGGAGATGCTGACACGCACAGAGGCCCGTCGATTTGGATGGCTGTTGGATGATGGAAAACGAAAAATATATCCAATTTAAAGGGGTCCGAAGACAAAAATTTAGAAATATATATATTTTTAATTTTAAAGCCTCAAAATTGGTTTAATTTTGCTAAAATACTCGTATTAAAACATTTATTTTGAGGTTTATGGTTTAATCAAAATCCACTCCTACTATAGTTATTTATAATGGGTAAAAATTGGGGTATGTTATTTGAAATTGGTCAACTAGTGTTATTAAAACATTTATACTAATTTGTGTTTTCGAATTATTTTCTGTGCAGTGTAGTGTGGCTTTACAAAGTCGTTAGCTCTTTATTTTTTAAGCTAATATGATCTTAGAAACACCTTGTCGCAGATGGCAATATAATTTGGTAAAAGGCAAAAATAGGCAAATTCTGAAAACTGTCGTTAATATCCCATGTGCCGGAAATATTGAGTGTGCATACTTCGTTGTTATTTACAAAATTATTCAAAATATTCGAAAACTTAATAAACTGAAATGGAAAACAATTGAATGCAACTTATTTTATTAAACGTAACAAGCATTGAGTACAATATGGCGTTGCAAATACTTTATTTAAATAAATAAAATAGCCATATAGTTTTTTTCCTCTGTGCAAAAAGCATTGCATATTCAAATTGTTTTCTTATATCGCCGAGCGAGTGTATGATATTAGATTAAAGTCTTTCGATTGCTGGGACCCTTCCGAATCCGAGACCAAACTGATAAAATTGGCTTCTAATGTAATGATGGCTTGGAGGAGGATTTTGGGAGACCGAAGCACACCGGGAGCTAAATGTAATGAATTTCTGCTGCTTGGGACCTCAGAGCCGCCCTCACCAAAATTTGTTTGCTTGTGTATTCTTGTTGATTTTGGATCTGGCAATTTAGCTAAATGCTTTGTTTGCGAGATAGGCGAATGCAAGTGGAAATAAAATGGAAGCAAAGGTGCCTATTAAATTAGAGTTATGTTAGTGCGACAGTAAAGGCGCAAATAATGTAACGCCTAATTTTAGCTAATACCATATAGAGGAATAGTTTGTATAAAAGATATGAACGAACTTAAAGCTTTTAATTATAACATACCAAATATTGTTATTGTGCATAAAGAGATTATTTTTACTTTTATATTATCACTTTAAATAGAAATGATATTGTACATTCCATTTTTTTCAGTGTTTTCGGAAAATAGACATTAAAGTTGAAACAAGAGAGAACGCTATAGTCGGGTGCCCCGACTATCAGATACCCGTTACTCAGGTAAAGGGAGTGCGAGGGAGATGGAGATAGAAATTTTGATCACGCATAACTTTTTAACGAATGGTCCGATTTGAAAAATTTCTTCTACATTTCGATAGGTATTGATAAACACAATAAAACTGCATTTTTACTTTTCCGAAATATTTAAATTTTTAAAATCGTATATAAGCGATTGTGGGCGTTAAAGGGGGCGTGGCACCTTTTTGAAACAAACTTGCGCTGCGTAGGAACTCCTAGAATCTGCATGCAAAATGCCAATCTTCTAGCTTTTATAGTTTCCGAGATCTCAGCGTTCATACGGACAGACAGACGGACAGACAGACGGGCAGACAGACGGACAGACGGACAGACGGACATGGCTATATCGACTCGGCTAGTGACCCTGATCAAGAATATATATACTTTATAGGGTCGGAAACGCTTCCTTCTAGCTGTTACATACTTTTGCACGAATACAATATACCCTTTTACTCTACGAGTAACGGGTATAAAAATTAAAATGTTGATCAATAATATGTGATTGGTGTCATTTCGTTGGCTTTTAAATATTTTTCTCCAAACAGAGTTTTCCAAGCAGAGTTATTAGAAAAGAAGTGAGACTATATATTAACATATATTTCAACATTTATATAGTCACGACTTCACCTTAAGAAAGAAATATTCAAAAATAATATATTTGCACCTTGCCATGTTGTAAAGGAATTAAAAAAAAACAAATGGTAATTCAAAAATGTTTAAAGTCTTTATTTTTTATTCATCGTGGTCAAAATTTTACATGTACACACATCTATTTATTGAAAAGGTATAATTTCATTATTTTTATTTTGATTTTTTATTGAATTAAATGAAATTAAGTTTTAAAATGTCTGATTTAGATGACCGGACTTGCGCTTGTGACCCATGGAAATGTAGCAACAAATGCAACGTTTAACTTATTTGCGTTATTTTTCACCGTTCTCTTAACAATTAAAATAAGCAAGGGCCATGACTTAAAAACTATTGCTGGCTCAGCGAATAAAACAAAAAGTTTTTCAATTTCTGCCCGGTCGGGAGAGAGTGGCGCCCAAGCGGCGTCAAATGTCCAACTTATAATTTGTAAAGGTACAACGTTTTCCGTCTGAACTCCTTCGTTTTTTAGTACAATGGCACAAAAAAGTTGTTATATTTCCCACGGGCTTGGCGATTCTACCTGAGGCCCTTGGCCCATTAGAAATTCATACATTTATCCGGCCACTTGTTCGTCACACGAAAAATGCCAAAAACGAGGAGCGCATAATCGCGACATTTATTACCTTTTTCCCGGCTTAAGTCGAGGACTTATCTCGCCCGTCGCTTTGGTTATGGTAAAATGCTGCTGACAACCAGCAGGCAAAGTCATCTGCGAATTTCTGTGGCACTTGGCTGCACTTTGCTTTTATTTCGAAAGCTTTTGGGGGTTCTTTTTGTGGATTTTGCCTGCATGTCTGGACTGCTGGCAACAATGTCGGATGCGACATTTTTCCTTTCTTGCGGTTTCCCTTTTTGCATTTTATGCAGTATTTATTGTTCCAACAACAACAATGTGGCAGCAGCTGAAGTGGTGCGACAAACGGTTTCGTGTTTTCATGTTTTTTTTATCCCGCTGCACCACATGACGTATGAGTGATTTATGTCCAAGCCGCCATGCGCGCCAGATTACGTATATGTCATGTTGTGCGAGTCTTGTGAATGTGCATTTAATTGCCCGAAGACATATAATTGATTGTCCTCTGCAGTGGTAGGGGACTAAATTTACTCTAATATGCCTTCTTGAAATCATTTTAGAGTACTTGTATATACATTATAATTTATTAAGTTATTGGAAATAAAATATTTAGTTTTTGTAATTAATCTGCTACTTATTAACCAACAAATCCATTTCCTTTAAAGCTGTGTATAGTTTTTTCTTGTAGTTTTTATTTCTTCCCTACATATTAAATGCTGTAAAATTATACTTAAAAGAAACTAGTAACAAAAGATACTTTGAATGATGGCAAAATCTTTCTCCCTAAAACTTTCCGCCTAGCGGAAGTTAAAGCATAATATAACAAATGTAATAAATTTGAAAGCATTGTTGTGCACAGAAGCTAACACTAGTAGCAAGCCGATGTTTTTACACTCTTGCAGCTATAACAACTATTTTAAAAACTTTATATCGATTTTTAGCTTGTATAATTAAAATAAATGTTATCGATCAGTTCTTTAGCAGCTTTATCATATATGATTATGTAAAACTTAAAACATATTTCTGACACTTAAAGTTATAACGATATTTATATTTTTTCCTAATAGTTTGCGGATAGATCTCAAACAGCCGATATTTATGTTTTTCTATTTTTATTAAATTAAAGATATAATGTATATTTAAGAATATAAAAAATGTGTATATCTCGGATTGTTTTTGTGGCAGCTATCATATATAGCTTTTCCGAAATGTATACTACTACTCGCTACATGTATCGCTACATTTAAATTTCTTTCTTGTTTTATAATTTATCTTATTTGGGAATATTACTGTATCAGAAAGTATTAGCGTAGTTTAATCTGTAGTGTATCCAACATATTCCTTGGTCTTATTATTTTTGATTGTTAGTTTGTTTCTGGAGGAGAATTGGGAGTCGCTTACATTTGTCTTTACTGGTGGCAATGTTGCCGAGCCTCAATAGCTTTCAATTTAATGGATAAATTGAAATCGTGGTCAAGGCAAAATTTAAATTCGATATTTGCTCAAATCGATTAGCACTTTGATTTTTAATCTACAAGCTTTCACCCCAATGAACTCAAGGCGAGTAAGTCACTTGAAACGAGATATTTAATGAAGAAACCCAATTTAAAGCCAGGCTACGCCTTTTGTAATGTATAATTATTTAATGGTTATACCCAAAATTATTCACTCACAAAAAACTGAAGACCAAGGTAAAGTATGTTATGAAACAGTTCAGTTTGATATATAATTCTATGTAGATTTATTTTGAAGTTGTCCTAAGAATATTACCATCATAAACCACGATAAGTCGCCACACCAGTAATTAACTTTTGAAGTGTTATCCACTCACCTGTCCATTAGGTTGGGATTGCCGCCGTGTTTGCGCCAGAAGCTGCTCGAGTGCGACTTGTTGGTGGAGTGGCAGCTCGAGGCGGGTGACGACGAGTGCCGCAAGATGCCGCCGCCAGAGAACCGGAAGCTGCTGCGGGCGGTGGTGGCACCCCTGGACCCACTTCCTCCGACTCCCCCACTGCCATTGGCCACATTGCGGAAACTGACCGTGCCGATGCTCCTGCAACTCGTCGTTCGCTGCTGCATCAAAGGACGTTCGGCGGGCTCTACGCTGTTTCCCCTGGTAGCACCCCCCCCGTAGAACCGCTCCCTCTTCCATTCCTCCCCCCGCGTGATTAAAGTTGCGATTGCCGTCGCCCATTGACAGGAATTTGTTATTGCCACTGGAAAAGCTGCTGTGCATCTGCAACTGTTGCTGGCTGTGCTGCGACCTAATGGTGAATCGTCCACCCAGCCTGAAAAACGCAAATTACAGGTAAACATATTTAACTTTGTGTGGTTATATAAATAATTAATTAAAAAAGTTTTTTATAAAAATAATTGTGAGTGTAAGGAGGCTTTAGAATGCATTCGGCCGCATTTACAGGATTTGGAAATTTTAGCTAAGGCTGAAATTTATTTGGAAGAGATTTTTGGGAATCTTAAGAATGTTTTTAGATAGGTATGAATTTTAGTTTTCGTAATTTGGTTTCAAAAATAACATTTGAAATTGATTGAAATGATTCACATGTTTTTGAGTGTAGAGCAAGCTGGATGAATTGGTTGGATGAATTGGTGGTTGATTGAGTTATGGCTAATTTGCGCTTGGTCGAATTTCGATTGACCTTTGGCAGCCAATTAGTGGCAGAAATAGCAGTGTTTAAAAGAGAAAGCGCAATAACGATTTAAGCCCTTGAGTCTGTGACGGAAATTTAGTTGCCGCCCAGAGAATCGTTGTGTTGAGAGGGTAATAGAGGAAATAATTTTTAAAAATGTTTTATTTTGTATTTTTTTCTATTTGTATTTTTAAGTAAAAGTTTGTTTTAGAGACGATTTGAGATCAATTCCTTTTTTTAATCTAAATTTTTATAACTAAATAGCTTAATTATTTATTTTTAGCACTTTTAATTTGATGGGAAGCCTTAAGCCGATTATTGCAACACTTTTAATAATAACAATATGCAACAATCTGTGGAAATTAGTCAAGGATCTTATTCGCTAGAGCCCTTACCTGCGAAACAGTTCACTTTCCGGATGCTCGGCGGCAAAACGGGCCTTCTTCCGGAGGAGGGGAATGGTCAGAGCGTATGTGGTGACCATCATTAGCATGGGGATGTAGAAAGCCACCAGAGACCCAAAAACAAAGAAAGCTCGGTTGTTGATTACACAGACATTGGGCTCGGGCATAATGTTTTTCTCGTTGACCAGACCTGAGTACCCGAAAAATAAATTCATGAATAACTTTCAAGCCTTCCCAACTTCTTATAATTTACCCAGCACTGTTATCGAGCTGGATACCATCATGGCCATCACCCAGACAATAGCAATCTTAATACCAGCCAATCGTTTTGTAGATCGATGCCTCGATCCCAATGGATTCCTTATGCCCAGATAGCGTCCCAAACTTATGAAGCACATGTGCAGGATGCTCGACGAGCAGGCCAGCACGTCGCAGGTCACATAAATGTTGCACCAGGTAAAGCCAAGAGGCCAATAACCTGAAAAATATAATTTAAAAAACTCAATGTGTTTAGTTTAGCTAATCTTAGCTTCTAATATTAATTAATTTACCGAATTAAAAGTGTAATTAGAAATAAGGGATATTAAGGTATTAAAAAAATTGGCTGTTTCAAAAAGTTAGAAATGAGCATAGCCGAGTTGATTTTGTTTTCTATTTCTTTGCGAAAATAATTAATAATATTATTGTGTTCTGTATATGTTAATAAATAATCAAAGATAATAAAGATGTAATAAATAGTCAAATACAACAAATTTGGGTTCATTTGCTTTTCTAATAACTTTTTTATGCGGGCCAACAGTAAACAGTTGTACTCACACTTACTTACACTTATGATAAAGTCGTCTGATTTTTATAAAACTCAAACCATATTTCTTAAATTGTTAAAAAATTATATATCTCCGATTATCTATAAACTCGTTATGTTAAGAATTAAGGAAGTTATATTTTTTTCCCCGATAGTTTCTTTGGGAGCTATATGACGTAGTGGACTTATGAACTGCAAAAGAATGAAACAAAAACGCAAAGAAATCCAAAAACGGTCTTTTTATAGATAATTTAATTATACCCGTTACTCTTAGAGTAAAAGGGTATATTGTATTCGTGCAAAAGTATATAACAGCTAGAAGGAAGCGTTTCCGACCCTATAAAGTATATATATTCTTGATCAGGGTCACTAGCCGAGTCGATATAGCCATGTCCGTCTGTCCGTCTGTCTGTCTGTCCGTATGAACGCTGAGATCTCGGAAACTATAAAAGCAAGAAGATTGGCATTTTGCATGCAGATTCTAGGAGTTCCTACGCAGCGCAAGTTTGTTTCAAAATGGTGCCACGCCCCCTTTGACTCCCACAATCGCTAATATACGATTTTAAAAATTTAAATATTTCGGAAAAGTAAAAATGCAGTTTTATTGTGTTTATCAATACCTATCGAAATGTAGAAGACATTTTTCAAATCGGACCATTCGTTAAAAAGTTATGCGTGATCAAAGTTTCTAACTCCATCTCCCTCGCACTCCCTTTACCTGAGTAACGGGTATCTGATAGTCGGGGCACCCGACTATAGCGTTCTCTCTTGTTATACCCTTGCAGAGGGTATTATAATTTTGGTCTAAAGTGTGCAACGCAGTGAAGGAGACATCTCCGACCCTATAAAGTATATATATTCTTGATCAGGATCACCTCCTGAGTTGATATAGCCATGTCCGTCTGTCCGTCTGTGCGTCTGTCCGTCTGTCCGTCTGTCTGTCCGTCTGTCTGTTTCTACGCGAACTAGTCTCTCAGTTTTAAAAATATCGAATTGAAACTTTGCACACACCCTTCTTTCCTTTGCACGCAGTATATAAGTCGGAACGGCCGGGATCGGCCGACTATATCCTATAGCTGCCATATAACTGATTGATCGGAAATGCCATAACTTTGGTGTTTGTAAAGTTAGGAGGTTGGGATTTTCTATGGGTTTTATTTTTAGCCAATCAATCCGACCTACCAAATTTCATAAGGATCGGCCGACTATATCCTATAGCTGCCATATAACTGATTGATCGGAAATGCTATAACTTTGGTGTTTGTAAAGTTAGGAAGTTGGGATTTTCTATGGGTTTTATTTTTAGCCAATCAGTCAGACCTATCAAATTTCATAAGGATCGGCCGACTATATCTTATAGCTGCCATATAACTGAACGATTGGAAATGCCATAACTTTGGTGTTTTTAAAGTTAGGAAGTTGGGATTTTTTATGAGTATTCAGAATGCATCATATGAATAATTTTGGAGAATATAATTTACAGAGTATTCTGCAAGGGTATATCAACTTCGGCTCCGCCCGAAGTTAGCTTTCCTTTCTTGTTTTTTTAATAAAAACTTTGGGTTGCTGAAGTTTGGTTCTTTTCTTGTTTTATATGAGATTTGTTCCCAAATACATATATATAATACCAAATAAGACCCTTTTTAAGGCAGTTGTCATCATAAATACACATTTGGTTATTGGTTTCCCTAATCCATCAAATCTTCTTTTATTATATGTACATGTGGTGAAGTGTCCCTTTAATTTGGATTCATTTCGTGCTGTGGGTTAATTGCTTAACACTAGACTGACCCATTCACCTTGACATCAATAGACGGCTGGCATTCCAACGGACTCGGGCTCTCAATGTGAAAGCCACTACAAAAACTCGATGGCTGCCCTGTCGGGAGTCGAATTCAGTATTAATTAGTACAAATTGCGCTTAAATGCGTTGGGTGTTGGATATTCGAGTGCTGCTGATGGGTGTGATGGGCTTTTACACGCTGCTTGGCCAGAGACAGGACATGAGGGTCCTTTTGGCCAAACAAAGGCAGTCAAACAGGAGTTGGGGCATTGCCATCGGGGGTGATCATCATGTCGTATTTAGTTTTATATGCTTGTCACTGACACACACAGACGGAAAATGTGTGAGGAAGTTGTCAGTATGTTTATTACGCATACGCCATGTGGCGAGCTTAGCAAGATGGCAAACTCAAGTGGCAGATGCAGAAACAAATACAGCTGCGGTCAATATAGTAGCTAAAGAACTCAATCAATAAAAGGAGATTGTTTTGGTTATATACTATAACATTATTATAGATTATAGCATTAATTAGAGAAGTATCGCATCAATTTCGCATAAGAGTCACACCTTTATATAAGTTGACTCATTTAAATTGACATATTTAATCAATAATAGATTTCTTTTCGCATTCAAGTACTATTTATGGCGAAAGTAATACAAATATATTTACATAGATTTATAAGTTTAAAATGTTAAAATGTTTATCCCCATAAGCATTCCGTCACATCTAATCACAATTTGAAAACGGTAAGAATAATATAAAAAGCTCTTGTACGTATTTTAATATATAAGCATAACGTAAACAGTTTGGGAACAGTTTGGAATGCGGCTAAAAAAATCTGTTTTAAAGTAAAATCAAAGCGCTTGGAGTGTGGGCAAAAACACACTGCCCTGACCGAACAATAACCAATGTTTATATAAACTAAAATAAATTTAAGACCTCCGACTGGCCCCCTTTTTGGATTAATTGTTGGCAAAGGCTCGAGTCGCTGTTTTTGTTATTGTTGCCGTCTGAGCTAAAACCACACTTAGGGCTTTTAGTTACATTTAGTTTACAGTTTTCGTCGACTTTTCAACACAGCACTCACACAAAAAAACACACACACAAGCGGAAAAACAGACCCTTCCCTCAGACCTAAAACAGCGAATGTGCTTTAAATAGGTCGGAATAAGTAAATGCAAAATAAAACAAGAAAGGAAAGCTAACTTCGGGCGGAGCCGAAGTTGATATACCCTTGCAGAATACTCTGTAAATTATATTCTCCAAAATTATTCATATGATGCATTCTTAATACTCATAAAAAATCCCAACTTCCTAACTTTAAACACACCAAAGTTATGGCATTTCCAATCGTTCAGCTATATGGCAGCTATAGGATATAGTCGACCGATCTTTATGAAGTTTGGTAGGTCGGATTGATTGGCCGAAAATAAAACCCATAGAAAATCCCAACTTCCTAACTTAACAAACACCAAAGTTATGGCATTTCCAATCGTTCAGTTATATGGCAGCTATAGGATATAGTCGGCCGATCCTTATGAAATTTGATAGGTCTGACTGATTGGCTAAAAATAAAACCCATAGAAAATCCCAACTTCCTAACTTTACAAACACCAAAGTTATAGCATTTCCGATCAATCAGTTATATGGCAGCTATAGGATATAGTCGGCCGATCCTTATGAAATTTGGTAGGTCGGATTGATTGGCTAAAAATAAAACCCATAGAAAATCCCAACCTCCTAACTTTACAAACACCAAAGTTATGGCATTTCCGATCAATCAGTTATATGGCAGCTATAGGATATAGTCGGCCGATCCCGGCCGTTCCGACATATATACTGCGTGCAAAGGAAATAAGGGTGTGTGCAAAGTTTGAACTCGATAGCTTTAAAACTGAGAGACTAGTTTGCGTAGAAACAGACAGACGGACAGACGGACAGACGAACAGACGGACAGACGGACATGGCTATATCAACTCAGGAGGTGATCCTGATCAAGAATATATATACTTTATAGGGTCGGAGATGTCTCCTTCACTGCGTTGCACACTTTTGACCAAAATTATAATACCCTCTGCAAGGGTATAAAAAAATCGAAGAAGAACGTTGTTGAATGCCCTGACCGTAAAACACACGACAAATTATAGAAATATTTTTGGCCATATTTTTATTAATTATTAATATTTACTTAACTTTTAAACTATATTTGTGCACAAATCATTATTGTCTCCCGACTCCCTCTTGTTTTTAAATAGATAGCTAGAACAATTTCCATTCCAAATTTTAGTTTGGTGCTCCTTTTTAAAAACAAAGTACTTGTTTGCTTAATGTCTTTATCAGGATCAATGGTATAGTAGAATGTGGAGATCTGGATTAATAAAAATAGCTTATATTGCGGCGTAAAATTTTCGAAACCAGTTGCACTAGTTTGAATTGATTGTCCTGCAAATATATATGGTGTTTTTGCCAGCCTTGTTAATTCATTTTAATTTTAAAAGAATATGCCCTAAACCTTATATGTCTTTAAATAAAATTAACACCGATGTTGCTAATGTGCTCAGTTCAGGTATAGGATCTACATATAATGATGAATACACCCTTAATTTATGCGAACGTTTGATCTGTTTTCACTACGTTGAACTCACTTTTGGTCACGTTAAAAAATGTGAAGGGTGGGTCAAACCTTATTTTGGGGCTTATCAGTGTCAGTGTCATATGCAAATTAGAGGGGCTACATCAATATGAAAGCTTTTACATATTTTGAGGGCAATGGGGTGGGTCTTAATTTTTTTAATTTTAAAGATTTTAATGAAAGCTGTCTTAAAAAAAATCACAAAAATTATTTAATCTTATAGTTAGTCACTCCAAAAAAAGTAATCCTTTCTCGCTATATGCAAAAACTCCCTTTATAGAACCAATTACTGAAATATGTATATTAAAAAGAAATTTACCCAAGCATCTCAATAAAAACAAGAAAGGAAAGCTAACTTCGGGCGGAGCCGAAGTTGATATACCCTTGCAGAATACTCTGTAAATTATATTCTCCAAAATTATTCATATGATGCATTCTTAATACTCATAAAAAATCCCAACTTCCTAACTTTAAAAACACCAAAGTTATGGCATTTCCAATCGTTCAGTTATATGGCAGCTATAAGATATAGTCGGCCGATCCTTATGAAATTTGGTATGTCGGATTGATTGGCCAAAAATAAAATCCATAGAAAATCCCAACTTCTTAACTTTACAAACACCAAAGTTATGGCACTTCCGATCAATCAGTTATATGGCAGCTATAAGATATAGTCAGCCGATCCTTATGAAATTCGGTATGTCGGATTGATTGGCCAAAAATAAAACCCATAGAAAGTCCCAACTTCTTATCTTTAAAAACACCAAAGTTATGGCTTTTCCGATCGTTCAGTTATATGGCAGCTATATGATATAGTCGCCCGATCCGGCTCGTTCCGACTTATATACTACCTGCAATAGAAAGACAACTTTTGGGAAAGTTTCGAGCAGATAGCTTTAAAACTGAGGGACTAGTTTGCGTAGAAACGGACGGACAGACGGACAGACTGACAGACGGACAGACGGACAGACGGACGGACAGACGGACGGACAGACGGACAGACGGACATGGCTAGATCGACTCTCCTGGTGATGCTGATCAAGAATATATATACTTTAAAGGGTCGGAAATGTCTCCTTCACTGCGTTGCAAACTTTTGACTGAAATTATAATACCCTCTGCAAGGGTATAATAAATTATTCTATAAACGGCTTAAATAATTTTTTCGGCAGCTTTATGATCTTTATAAAATTAAAATGTTCTTATGACAGCTAAATGACTACTTGCAACAGAATGAAGACTTTATGGGAAAGTTTCATCCGAAAGGCTTTAAAATCGGAATAAGCCACAAGCATAAAAGTTTTGTTTAACTACAATATGGGTACTTCTGAGTTTCGCAATTTTCGGTCTCGGCAATCCTTCGGACGGACTTTTTTCAACACGACTCTTAATGCTGAAAATGCACTTTATATCTAAGGGACTGCTTCCCGAGTAGAGAAAGCTTATATTAGAGTAAGGGGTATAAAACGAGAGCGAAAAAATCCTTATTCAAACATCAACAAGCAGAGTCACGCGTTTGTCATACTCGTTTGTTGCTTCCGAAACTTTGGATTTTGTTACACGGAGAAAATAAGTTATACATACATACGAGCAAAGTTAAGTAAGTGTTTTTAAAATTTGTGGTCTATAAATACCGACGGTGTACAAAGAAATTGTAAAATAAGTCACACTTAACTTTAGCTTAGTTTGATCGTGAATGCAATCATGGTAATACAATTATTTTTTTAGAAACGTAATTTTTCGTTATTTTTCTCGGTGCAGCACTACTGCATTGTGCTGTGAGTGTAATTGAGCCAAAGCGGAAGCAGACAACGAGGCTAACAACTCATGACAATGGGCGAGGCGGAAGGGGGCGTGGCAGCCGGCTGGAGATGAGCATAGGGTGGAGGAAATGGCGTCGAAATAATTCATGTGCAAATGCATTAGTCGCTGACTTGCATTGCCACTTGATTGCTGAAGTACACTCGAAGAAGCCAAGTGAACGATAAAAAGTTTGCTTAAAGGAAGTCGGAATAAAAGCTACTTAATGTATTTTAAAGGGATATATTTCGAGCTTTTGTAAAATACTGTTTTTAAATTGTTTAAGATCTATAACTTGGTAGTGCTGAAACTTGGTGGTGTTGTAAATACTGTTGCTAAAATGTTTAAGTTAATAGGCACATTTTAAAGCTTCCTTCGGCTTTAAGATTCACTTACCTAAAAAAGCTGGTATGGCTCCCATGGGCATCACGAACAGACTAACCAGCAAATCGGCTATTGCCAGTGAAAACAGGAAGTAGTTGGTGACATTCTGCAGCTTCCGATCCAATGCAACCGCCAGGCAGACGAGGATGTTGCCCAAGCCTCCTGCAAATATGAAGAAGACCACGAACAGGAATAGCCAATCGTAGCCGTGCGGACTGTAGTCCAGAAAGCTCCTGGTAACCCCAATATCGGCTGATGTGGCTGCGGTGGAGGCAACTGTCGTTGTGGTCAGTGCTGTGTAGTTGGACAGAACCATGTCCAAACTGGTGCTGGTGCCATTCAAAATGCCAAAGGTTTCGTTGCCGGGGTCCATTAGCTCGCTTAGGTTAAGGAAGGACCAAAGGCCGTCGGTCAGCTCGATTTGATACGCCTCCAGTAGGCTATCGTTTGAAGGGTGCTCCTCCGCACCCTCGAGCTGCCGAAATGGCTTCCTCTGGTGCTGCTGCAAATGACAGAGGAATGGTTCCTGAGGGTGCCCCAGCTCACATTGCAATACATCCTCTCCGTTCTCGCAGCTCGAACTATCACTGAGTGTATCACTCGCATTATCACTGAGGGCCTCGTTGATTGCCAGTCGAAATTGCTCGTACGCCTCGTGTGGCACTTGCAACAGTCGCGCCTTCAGCCTCAACGTGCAGCTTTCAGACAATGGACTCTCCCCATCGCATCTATAGGATGCCGTCTGCTCCGCTTCATCGAATGTTTGCCGAGCACACTGGAATGTGTTGTTGCTGCCGTTGATGAGGATGTTGCTGGTGGGCAGGATGTGGTTGCTGTTGCTGCTGGTGTTGCTGCTTTCGCAGTTAATAAACGGCCGCCAGACCTCAGGCCAAGCCGTCTCTTCCAGTCGACAATTGAAGTGTCGCTGGAAGAATGTTGCTGTTGTGTCTGATGCATTTGCTGTTGCTGTTGGTTGTGTTGCTGTTGTTGTTGCTGCTGTCGTTGGTCCATGACCAGAGTAGCTTTGCATCTCCATTTCATTCTAAAGCTGTGCGGCTCCCTCCACGACAGCAACGACTCGCAGAAGTCGCTGTTGTTGAGTGCAAAGTAATTGCCTGCAACAAAAAAATGGGGAATGTTGGTTATTTACAGCCAGTTGGGTACTCTCAATTTGATTAACATGTTTAGTCACTTTGGGGATTGGGGACACTTTGTTTTGTATACAAAGAAAGGGAACAAACCTCCGAATATTTATTTAAAATTATAGCAAAATTGCTATATCCACTTTCCGGTACATTTTTTAGATAGTTTCTTAATTCTATAAGATATAGTAGAGAGAGTAGCTTGCGTAAAAACCGATAGACGGACATGGCTAGATCGACTTCAATGGTGATGCTGATCAAGAATATATTTTATTGTTATACTTTACATAAAAATTTTTAATGTTGAACCTGTAAGTTCAAAATACCGTCTACATAATAGCTCAAAATGTTATAAATCAACAGATTTCTGTGATCTAAAAACGAATGAGCCACGAAAAGAATTAATAAACAAGAGAGAACGCTATAGTCGGGTGCCCCGACTATCAGATACCCGTTACTCAGGTAAAGGGAGTGCGAGGGAGATGGAGATAGAAACTTTGATCACGCATAACTTTTTAACGAATGGTCCGATTTGAAAAATTTCTTCTACATTTCGATAGGTATTGATAAACACAATAATACTGCATTTTTACTTTTCCGAAATATTTAAATTTCTAAAATCGTATACAAGCGATTGTGGGCGTTAAAGGGGGTGTGGCACCTTTTTGAAACAAACTTGCGCTGCGTAGGAACTCCTAGAATCTGCATGCAAAATGCCAATCTTCTAGCTTTTATAGTTTCCGAGATCTCAGCGTTCATACGGACAGACAGACGGACAGACGGACATGGCTATATCGACTCGGCTAGTGACCCTGATCAAGAATATATATACTTTATAGGGTCGGAAACGCTTCCTTCTAGCTGTTACATACTTTTGCACGAATACAATATACCCTTTTACTCTACGAGTAACGGGTATAAAAAGATTGGCATCAAAATTTAAAAATTGCAGTTTTAAATATTTTTGTTGCATTAATAACAGCCGAAAGGATTCTAAATTCTTCATGAATAGCTATAGTCCGGAATATAATACAAATAATAAGAAAAGGAGGTAAGATGTAGTTCCTCATCCAATGACAGAAATTTTCTACAAGGAAAAAATGGAAATACATTTGTATTGAACGTATTCAATATATTCGAATATCGAATAAACTTTTTTTTTGATAACTCAATAGATACCTAAATTTTAAAATTAAATGTAATTGAGTAATGATTTTTATCGGCAGAAAAAGTTTTTTAGTGGAAAAAAAAATATTGCATCAACTTCAAAAAGCTTGTATTTTTTGTCATTTTTTGTGAAACTAATATAACGAAATGGATGTTAGACCAATTATGGGAATTTCCCGAGTGGCCATTTCACAGAAAGTCTTCATCAGCGGCATGAACAAAATGGAAAATATAGCTGGCATATTTTCCAATACGTGTTTGTGCGTTCCTGTCAATAGATGACAGCTGAAGAGTTGAGCTCGATGGGATGCATCAGATGATGATGATGTCGATGTCGATAACGCCGATGCTGATGCCTGTGACGATGGCAGTGTCAACAAGAGCTGGCGACTCGATTTGAATTCGCTTTAAATGGCGCGGCCAACAAAGGGTCCCACGCTCATGGGTCTCCCTTTGACCTTCTGCCAAACATCCGCCCACTCCCCCTCCCCACTCCAAAAACCTTGAATGCGGCTTTTGTGCTTGTGTCAGTGCCAAATTCAGCCGTCAACCGCGAGCTTCTAAAATGTGGTTCCCACTTTCTTTTTTTTGGTTTTTTGTTTTCATTGGCGGCCTGCACAAATTTGTTGTCGCCACTGATAATGAGTCTCGTTCACACATACATGCACCCGGGTAAAAAGTTAATTAAAAATACTGCAGACCCAAAAGATTTATGCAAGCACTGCGGCCGGGCAGTTTCATGCCGTTCACTCTATGCGAACCAAAGATAAATTTAAATTATGTTCCTAAAATTTGTCAAATAATTGTTAGCAAATTTGTTTGTCAATGCAATAGCAAATACAAAAATGTGGGTCTCACGATTATATGTTCTGTATGCCAATTAAACCAAGTCAAAAAAACGCGTATAAATAATAAACGATTAAAAATAGTTATGAAAATGCGAGGGCCGTGTGGTAAGAGCCCATTTTTGCATATACTATAATGAAGCGCTTTAAAAATTCAGACAGAATATTCTATATACTGTGTAATGCATGACAAAACGTTTTTCGTAATCAATTTTGATTGATACCATTTTATAAAGCTGTAATATTTAACTAGTTTGCTTCCCAACTTTCAAGGAGCTGTACAACACAATGGTTTTGATCAACTAAGGGTGCCAAAGGCTTTTTGGCTCAGTCTGAGTCTGCCAGTAAAAACGGTGAAGGATTTAGTTTCGTTGAGGTTTTTGGATGGACAGCAACCGTAAGGAGGTAAGACTCAAATTCTCGGATAATCACAGAAAATCCTAATATGTCTTTTAATATAGATAACAGGAACTTGACTACAAGTCTGGTGTATCGAATGATCCTTGCCAGGTATTTCATCGAAAATTGATTTTGTTGCAACAGATCTAAAAATAAGTCTGACCCGTAACATAGTAAATTTAATATCGTTTTCGATGTGGGGCAAAGCTTTAAAAGTATTTTTTAAAATTTAATTTGTTTTTTATTTTTAAGAAAAATAAAACTAACGGAATAAAAAAACAATATAACATTAATAAACACGTTTGTCATGTAAAATAATGTCTCTATAAATATATATTAGTACTTGGACTTTTAGCTAGCTCAAGTTTCGTGAAAATATTTACATTTTTGAAATTGCATTTGTTTTCACTATCCAGTATTTTACAGCCCCAAATTTTTTCTAGTATCATATAGTTAAACATATTTTTAAATAAAAAAGGAAGCTTATCGTTTCTGAAAATGTGCAACCTGACGTTTCAGTGAAGCGTTATTATTCGATAGGATTTGTCGCTGGGTAGCGCTTGCCCCTAGAAGGCCCCAAAAGTGGGCCAACCACACACATGACTAAGATAAACACTGCAAGGTGACGGAAGGGAAGGGAGGGGGTCCCTTATGCATATGAAATGCGCTTTGACAGTGCACTTTGCCGACTTAATTTGAGTGGCGACGTGGATGCAGCATATGTATGTACATGTATATCCTCGTAACGAGGAGCTTTAATGATGTCGCTGCAATTTAAAGTCGGGGCTTGTGTTTGAGGGAGGAGTCGCTTTAATCATACACAACGCCTTTGTTTCGGTGTGAATGCTAGTGAAAGTGCAGAAGAAGATACATTTATGCATCTGAGAGCCAAACTAGTGCAATAATTAAAGTCTCTGTTTGTTGATGGAGTGTGTGGTAAAATGAATGATGTCGTCCTCCGTCTCTCGAAAAAGCAAAGCCTTAGAGCAATGCCAAGATGAGGTTCTATTCAAAGACTGAATTAACTGTTAACGGTTTGGCCAATATTGAAACACAAACTTATTATAAGTGGACTTTTTCAAAATTCTGTGTTAAAAAAGGAATACATTTTTTCAACGGAAGTCGGTTGTTATAAAAGCAAACTTCGGGTAAATCAAAACAAATTTACAGTTAAAATACTGCGAAATATTTATTTATTTGGGATTAAAAATGGTAAATGTATAAGTAACAAGAAAGGAAAGCTAACTTCGGGCGGAGCCGAAGTTGAAATACCCTTGCAGAATATTCTGCAAATTATATTCTCCAAAATTATTCATATGATGCATTCTTAATACTCATAAAAAATCCCAACTTCCTAACTTTAAAAACACCAAAGTTATGGCATTTCCAATCGTTCAGTTATATGGCAGCTATAGGATATAGTCGGCCGATCCTTATGAAATTTGATAGGTTGGATTGATTGGTTAAAAATAGAACCCATAGAAAATCCCAACTTCCTAACTTAACAAAAACCAAAGTTGTGGCATTTCCGATCAATCAGTTATATGGTGGCTATAGGATATAGTCGGCCGATCCTTATGAAATTTGGTAGTTCGGATTGATAGGCCAAATATAACACCCATAGAAAATCCCAACTTCCTAACTTCACAAACACCAAAGTTATGGCATTTCCGATCAATCAGTTATATGGCAGCTATAGGATATAGTCGGCCGATCTTTATGAAATTTGGTAGGTCGGATTGATTGGCCAAATATAAAACCCATATAAAATTCCAACTTCCTAACTTAACAAACAGCAGAGTTATGGCATTTCCGATCAATCAGTTATATGGCAGCTATAGGATATAGTCGGCCGATCCCGGCCGTTCCGACTTATATACTGCGTGCAAAGGAAAGAAGGGTGTGTGCAAAGTTTCAATTCGATATCTTTAAAACTGAGAGACTAGTTCGCGTAGAAACAGACAGACGGACAGACAGACGGACAGACAGACGGACAGACGGACAGACGGACAGACGGACAGACGGACAGACGGACATGGCTATATCAACTCAGGAGGTGATCCTGATCAAGAATATATATACTTTATAGGGTCGGAGATGTCTCCTTCACTGCGTTGCACACTTTTGACCAAAATTAAAATACCCTCTGCAAGGGTATAAAAAGGAACACCAAAGTATTTTGATACAACAAATTAAGTTCGGACTAAAAAAAGGAAAAAAACTACAGTAGAGTACCTCGATTATAAGATACTTATTACTTAGCTAGGCAATTTTAAAATAAATAGGACTCAGCTGATTGGACATTTTGACAAAAAAAATCGAGATTTCTGTAGCGCCATATGCCGAACTGCAGAGCAAGACCTCTTCTTTACCCTCTTTAAATTCTTCAAAATTAATGAAAAAACGTTTTGCTATGGAAGAAATTAAAATATATGACCTCGAGTTTAATAACTAACTTCAATTATAACTTCTAATAAAACGGCTCGATTTGAAAAGTTGATGGTGTGTAGATAAATATTGACCATACCGTATACCATATATATACATATTCCATGTATGTCC